ATTCCGAATGGTGCTACTCACTTAGATTTGTCACATAATGATTTATTGCTTTTTGTTGTAAATTGCATGAGAAGCTCCGGTTGTATCTTTAGACACCCTACTCCCTTTAGAGTTATGCAGTTTTTGTGATCTGTGATAAACCGGGTATAAAAGCACTCCTGTTCATTTCAGAGCTCTAGTGTGTTTTATTCCTTCCTCAGACCACCCTGTTCTGGTGAGCTTCGGCTCTCCAGAGCCTCGCCACATTTTATTTTTTATTCTCGTCTCGTATTTCAAGTACTTTGTATAACTATATTGTCTTGTGTATAATTATGAATATATAGCTGTCACTAGGTATTAGCTAACTTACACACTTTACCACACACATACATAGGGCAAGCACACCAGCCTGATCCCCAATTAGTTAAGATCGCGACAGATTACTGTGCGGCAAGCCGTTTGTAGCATCCATGTTGATAGGTGCCAGAGTAAGGGGAGTGTATATAAAGGGGAAAAAATAGTAGGAGAAAAATTGTAGGAAAAACAGTTGAGTTAAGACGTTTCGGTACATTAAATTACCGACTGAAGGCACATTTTCTTAGCTTTTAATAAATTTCATATTATCATGAAGTTGCTGTACTGGTTGCAGGCTCACAGCGGACTGATAACGTCGCCTTTGCAGAGGGTCCTTGAAGTAGTGGTAACGCTGTACTCCTTCGAAGCCCAAAATACCGAAGAATTATCTTTTCGTAAAGGTACGCATCAATCGATGTTTATAGGCTAAAGAGAATTAAAGGGAAAAACCTCACTTTTGGGGAAACAGTTAATTTTGAAGTCAGAAGTAATGTGTGAGGTTTGACGTGCTTTTTTTACTGGCAAAAATTTATCTGGTTTTTCTTAACTCACTACTGCGTGGATTTCATCTCTGCTTTGAGTTTTAAAAAAACATTGGCTGATTTTCTCCTTAAACGTAAAAAAAGTTTCTCTCATCCTAGCTTTGAGTTTTTGAAAAGTTAGGCTCAATTCTGCCCTTGAATTTCAGAGGCGTTGCTCGAGTTTCAAAAAAGTTGGACTCATTCCCTCCACGAGTTCCAAAAAAAAATTTTTTTCTTGAAACTCGTGGCGGGAATGAGTCTGGCTTTTCTTTTTGGTTTTTCTTCAATTCACTGTGTATTTATATTCGCTGTGATAGTCTCTAGAATTGTGGTACTGGGTAGTCTTTGGTGGCGTATTGGTCATAAGGCATGAACTCATCCCTCAGTTTTATTGTAGACTTCTATATGAGAATGATCAAAATAGGCGGGAAAAATCATGATAATGGGGAAATGTTGTTCGCGAATTCTGCGTTGTCGAGGGAGTTTCGTCATATTTGTGTCATCCTTGTTTGCGATTCTGGAATCTTGCGTTCAGCAGTCGTTTGCATTTGCTTCGTAAAAGACGACTGCTTTTATCGTTTTAGACTCTTATGACACCGTAACTGCGTAGATGACTACTGCATTTCATTTGGGTTAAGTGAGATTTCTAAACCAGCGAACTTTGACTGGTTCTTTTTTTTACACTTTTGAATCTTTTGAGAAAAATGAAGGTTGTCGAAAATCTGAAATCATTTCCAGGCGAGCGTTTAGAAATCATCGATCATCCGGCTCATGATCCGGAATGGTGGAAAGCTCGGAACGAAAAGGGGTGCACCGGACTTGTCCCAACAAATTACATCGAGGTTTTTCGATAGTTGCTACGTGTTTTGTTCTTGAACATTTGCACAAAATGCATATTGTTACAACTCTGTCTGTACGCGTGTGCTATGGGTGTGTCCATGTGCGTCTTATTCCGCATTTTTAGCTAACGAAGGCATAAAGTTAAGAAATTGAAATAAGGGGAAATTGTCTTCTGTCCACATGCAACTCAGCAAATTCAGCCTCTACGTATGCCTGGGTCTCATGTGTGGCTCCGTGGAAATTTTGTCGAGAAAATTTTCTAACTCGAAAACTGAAAGAGCTAGGAGGCTAATATTTGAGAAGAATGTTTTTTGCCTATGCGGGGACCTCACAAATTCGATTTTAGCTCTCACATACGCCTGTGTCTTGCACACGGCCACATGAAAATTTTGACGCAAAAGTCATTAACTCGAAAACCAGAAAACTAGAAAGCTGGAATTTTGAAGGGATGTTTCCCATCCAGATACAGTCCAAACCTTTCAAATTCACCTTTCGCGTACTGTTGTGTTTTACGTACCGGCAAGTGAAATTTTTATAGAAAATTCGGCGCTTAGAAAGCAGGCAACATGTCGACTGTTTTTGCACACACACACACCAAAGTTTAAAGCAGTGAAAATTCCTGAGGTTAAGCGTTCACTGGACGGAACTGCGCCAAACCCATTATCGTACCGGCTCTCCTGGTGCGCACCGCTATTTAATTTTTCTTTTGTAAATCGCTTTCCAAACATGTTCCTGGTGGTGCTGTTGAACATTCGTTTTGTGTTATCGGCCGAACATCTCAGCTCTGTAGGTTGTGGAAACGAATCCTGACCCGGCTGTCAACCATTTCGCTTTATCATCCATGTCAGAGCGGAGGTTGAAGAATTCCGCAAGCAACACTGGAATTTCTCCCCGAAATGGAAGGTTGGTATTTTGCAGCTCAGATTGAATTTTTGGGAAATTTTCTCTTGAACGCCATGTATTTGGTGGTGTAGAAAGTTAAAACTAGTACTCTTTTTTATGCACTTTTCGTGATTTTTTCCACTTTTTATCCACTAAAATTAGTACTTTTTTATCCACTTTTTATCCACTTTATCCAGTTTTTACCCTCTTTGAAAGATGCGTAAAACGGTGGGCCTCGAGATTAAGGTTTGAAATTTTTTTTTTGGAAAATTGAAACAATTTGCTGCTTTTCAAATTGAATTTTGATTTTGGACCGTTATTTGAGTTTTAATCAGTGATACTGCTGCTGTTACAGCTCTCCTCCTCGGCTCAGCGGTCCCTACGCAACTCAGCCATGGTACTATGGGAGATTGTCGCGCGATGAAACCGATACATTGTTGAATGCGCGTGGTACCGATGGTGATTTCCTTGTTCGGGATAGCGAAAGCAATGTAAGGCCGTACTCATCATTTTGTGTAACTATGAGATAAAGAAAGTTAGAAAGGTATTAATAGTAATTAAACAAATAAATAGGCAGCGCACCGACTGCCAGTGCGAAGATGCGTTTTTTGCATAGTTCCCCGCAGCTTTTTGTCGCTAATGGCACCGGCTTTTCCGGCAGATGCTTCTAGCTAAAAGAACTGAGACAGGCCGTCAGGACTGCCAGGAAACATTCTCTTAAAATTTAGCTTTCTAGTTTTCCTGGTTTCCGACTTACTAACTTGCCCGCAAAAAACTTTCACGGGCCCGTACGTGGGTACCACGCATACCCAGGGGCTGAGTTGGAACTCATGAACAGTTACGCGGACGGGCAACATTTCCTTATAATTACAGTTTTCTAGCTTTCCAGGTTCCCGAGTTAGCAGCTTGCCCGTAAAAAACTTTCACGGGCAAGAGCGCCCATTTTAAGGATGGAGCCCGTAAACGCATGTAGATTAAGTTCCCAAAGTTTCAGTCCTGTAGCTTTTGTAGGCCTAGAGATGAAAAATCGGTACAGACGAACACACAGACACACATACGCAGACAATCCCTCGTTAGTA